TCGAGGACCAAGTTCAGGTGGCTTACGCGTTGGATGATATCCGTCTTGCCAAGATTCTACTTCTTAAACTTAAAGGGATCGATGTCACTTCGGACAATGATCCTCGAATAGATGAAGTCCGAGACGAGGATTTTGACATGTGCTTCGTACCATCAGGTCCACTCAAGCTTGAAGAACCTGAATTACTTGTCGTCCAAGAAACTCGACGGAGACAGCAACAGAAGTGGGAGGAGGCTCAGCGAAGACAACGCTTGCGCGGGTGCGAAAGGGTTTGGGAGGAAGAGAAGCACCGTCTACACACCGAGCGACTTCGCGCTATTCGCCGTCGCGAGGAGGATATTGCTGTAGAGGAAGAGCGAAGGCGGATAGCAGAGGTTCATAAGCGCCAAGAGGCAGAGCTCGCTCTCCGACAGCGTTCCACGCGGGTGGGGTTCTCGATGGTTCAACGTCAAACTGTATCTTATGGTAAATTGTCGCAGGCACGGTTAGAGAGGTGCTCGTCGAAGCGCGACGAAGATCTATTTCAGTACAGCTTCATGCGACCCATGAATCTGAGCACAACCCCACCCAAGCGTGGCTTCACATCCCCGAAACCGCTCCGTAATGACACCACGTCGAAGCCTCCAGGTGGCCAGCAGCGCACAGTGTCGTTCAAGGAGGTTATGTCCTCTATGGACGGTAAGTTGTTCCCCCTCGACGCAGCTGAGCGGGCGGAGGAGGCGAGGCGTATTGCGGGAATCAGTACTGTTACCAGCCCTTCGCGGCACCGCCATCATAACTCTGCGCGATCCGATTTACTGCTCAGTCTGCTCCATGTAGTCGAGTGGCAGGAAGGGGAAAGGCGGAAGGCGAAAGGCAAGGACGTGGAACGACCTGCGCAATTTCTTGAGCAATCTCCGCTCTGCAGTACTCCCACCCCTGTGCTTTTGATCCCTTCAACTGACTCGATACCCCCGATGTCGTCTTCTGTTGCCACGTCTCGATCGAACTCTTGGCTGTCCTTTGGCAGTTGGCGCTCGTCGGTAACGGGCATCACGTCTCCCGAAGCATCTTCACCTGTCATCGACTCGCCCAAATGCTCCATGTCATCCCTACAGCTGCCTACTTTCTATGACAGTCAGCGAGATATTAACCCACGCTCCTCCTTTGTCCGTGTTTCGCTTGATGAAACTCCACTATCACCGCCCAAGGCTCAAAGGCGTGCTCGGGAGGTGCAAACATCTCGACCTCCTGTTGATGTTCCCTCATTAGCAGGTCAATCTCGTGGGTTGGAAAGCATGGGGAAATCACTGGTTCGACATGTCAGTCGTTCTGTCCATGGGATAGTCGATGTGGCGAGAGGACTTCAATCAGCCTACGTCTCTACAACCATGTTTTCCGTTGGCGCCGCTCCTTCCCACTCTTCTATGTCTTCTTCACAGTCTCGAGCTGGCTCCTCCAGCAGAAGGAGTTTCCGACCCTATGGCTACCGTGCTCGCCCAGGTGACGTGAAGAAATTTACCTCTCTCACCACACCATCACCAACAAATACTTCACCTGAGCCCATCCACTTCATTCCTCTCGTATCTCCTTTCCCGCCAAGTGCTACGTTAGTTGTGCATCACTCGGCGGTCACTCATTCCCCCATTATCCCCTCACCCCTTCGCCCTCGCACTCCACCCACTGCGCTCGCTTACCGTATGCGCCCCGTCGCAAACCCTGAAATCCTCCGTTTACGCGCACTCCAGAATCTCATGTATTTGCGGGGCAAAGAATGGGAAGGCCGCGGACGAGAAGGCGGACTTGGCTGCGGCAAAGAGCGTTTGCTTGGCGTTGCCTTTGAAGGCCGGGGGCCGAGCGGCCTAGGGTGCGAGATACGTTTCGTTATCGCATGATGACTTTTCCTCCTCGGGTGGGACCTATGTGTCTGGTGGTATCTGGACTTTATAATCAGTTTATGCGCTGTTTAATCCTAATCGTTGGAACGGGACCTTCCATTTTAGTTTTGTAGGAGTGCGTGGAGTGGAGTGGAGTGGAGTGGGGTGGAGGTAGTGATGATCTAGGTGGTCCATCTGTTGTCTGTATCTATAGAAGGTTTTTAGCTGACGATACCCTCGCACGACGAGCACGTACATATGATTTTTCTTTCTCTCTTCAATTGTTCATATATATACCTGGCCAACGCTTTTACAATTGCGACATCCCATCCATCTAGACTTACCATTTTCCTTTTTTTGCGATTCCCCCTATGTACTTCGTATCTGCTTTGCCGTAAAGAGCTGATCGAATACAATCTTCATGTTTGTTCATCGTATGTTCTAAGTGAACTCAGTCCTTAAATACTAGGGTGTCCATGAGGTGAAACACAATCTCGGTCTCGGGTCTTTGGCTCCCCGGCTCCTTCACCTATCATGAATTTCAAACCGGGGAAGATGATGTACATTTGCCGACGACAGCGCACCATGCATATGCAGGTTTAGACAGTTGTATCTGACTGGCCGCCATCTGAGCAGGTGCAATGTTGAGTTGCTTCTGAGCCTATCGGTTATCGAGGTGAAGTTGTACATCCGGTGCTTTTGGTTGGTTGTAGACGATGTACATGATGCCTGTTGTCCATGTATGGTCGTGCACAAGAACCATAGTAATTTTGTATTGGTAGTAGGCCCTTGATAGGTCGGTGTGATACGGCTGCTGTTCTCGCAGGCACCGTTCGCTGTGAAATAGGAAGAAGGTCAGTACCCGAGCCATCGGCCAGGCAGGGAAAATGTCCCTTTCACCTGTTATACTAGTGGCGAGATGGTGACAGGTGAAAGGCAGATAATTTTAAAAACCTTGATCACAGTAAGCCACTACGAGACACTTCGACCATTCAAGACATTGTTGTGAGCCCCTGTCCTGCCAGTAGCCACCCTCCAAGAGCCTCCAAAGTTCAATCCGACAGACGGGTAATCGTAATGAAATTCACCAATTTCGGTAGCAGAGTGGGTGTCTGACATTTGCAAATTGCACGTTCGAACTGACGTGTAGTTTACAATTCCAGGTCAACGAAGTGCAGTTCATATGTCATTGAAAGACGTTGCAGTAAGCGGAGTACTGTCAATGCAAGAAGGGTATCAAAAGAGTCTAGGGATACAACACTGTAACGAAACGAACTACCGCGAGTTAATGATTGAAATCCGCCATATTTGGCGAGGTCCAACGGTCAAGTTTAGACGGTGTCGACTGCGCCCAACCCACGCTTGAGCCCACGCTTACTGGTGGCGCAGGCCCAGGATTTGGCGAAAATAAATTTGCGGGTCGTCGCATGGTCTTGGCATACGGAAGCTGATTAGAGTATATGGGATCTTGCATGCGCAAACCACTACCGAGTTGGGGAGGATGTTGCGGCTGGATCCGCTGCTGTGTTTGTGGTCGTTGAGGCTGCGGGGGCGGGGGAAGAGGTTGTTGTTGGGGCTGTTGTTGAGGCTGTGACTCCCATCCATTCCAAGGGTTGCTTTCCCGCTCTTGTGGCACATCAATGTCAAACGCCCACGGGCTCATACGCGAACCAGAAGAAGACGACCCACTCCGCATCCGAGATGCAACGGAAAGTGATGTCGAGATTCGACTACTCTCCTCTCGCTCGAGATCAAGTGTGATTCCCTTTTCGCTCAAGGAGGCGGAGTCGATGCCTAGCATCTTACGCAGCTCCTCATTCTCCTTTTCTAGGCGGGAAATTTCAATTTCGCGCTCCAACGCCCAATCGTCCCGAATCTCGGATTCCGCTTGTTGGTCTAATGTTTGGAGGAGAGCAGTGATGTCGATCGGGGAATCTGGGGTACCATTATCGTTTAGTTCGGGCTCTTCGCCAGACATGGAACGATGCAATGCACGGAGGGTGTGAGCAAGGCGCTGAAGGCCGACTGCGGTCTTGGTTTCGGAAGTTAGGTCCGTATACTGGTTTTGGGAGTCACATGCCAGGAGTAAGCCTTCATAATGGCGTGTCAGGGTAAGCTCATGTTGCTGAGCTGCTAACTAGATTCGAAGGACGTTATCATCGGAGAGTTGACAATGGGGTGTCAGACGCACCGCATGATTCCGAAATTTGGACATAATGGTTTCCATAGTGCTTTCATATTCCTTGAGAAGGATACTAAATTGCTTGTTCTCGTGAAGTAGGGTTTGGTTCTCTATAATGAACTGGGCGTTCATGCGCTCCAATTCGGAGTCGAAAATCTCTGCGAACAAGGTTTAGCCCTGCTGCGGATGGACGAGGTGAATGCAAGCAGACCTTTGGAAATGTCGGTATTAAACCGCCTCAAAGCAAAACCTGAGCTGGCGTGCACGGCCTGGTCCTGGTGAAAACATGTGAAAGGAACGGATATTAGCGGTGACAGGACACACTTTTATTGAAGCAGCTTGTGAATGTATTGCATTTGATATCTTCTGGTTATGAGCAAGCTGGTCGCTGAGCTCGTGAATGAGGAGCCATGCGCGCAGAATATCGTTATCCATGATCATGTTTGAGAGCAGCTTTGAAGATATGCTCTTCCCAAATAGGAAGGATTAACAAAATTGCAAAGTACACCGTTTGAATTTTTGATCAGCTCAACGTTTCAGCGCACTTTGGCAAGGCAGTCCTGGATTGCTGCAGAAATTAGGATTGAATTGAAGAGACGAGTATTTCACTGACCTAACAAAAATCTGTGAGCTTGGGTTCTGGGTGAGAGGTCGTGGGAAAGTGTGTTAGAGGTCACTTTGCGACTTGTTCACTTCTCTCCTATAGTCCTCCTCATCAGCCTTCTGTATAACATCAAACTGAAACGCTCGCTTCTTCGATAATCAATTGGGAAATAACTAGCAATTATATCAAAGCTGTTTATCTCCTTTTCACAACAACTTCGGCAATTTCGACCTTACATTTATTCTCGCTAATCATCGCCTACTCTCTTATTCGGCTTTCTCGTCACATTCAGCCCTCCCCATTTTTTTTTTCATCAGTCTTCAGCTCATTTGCATCAAGTTTCTTTTCCGTTTCAATCATGGCATCTACCTCAACCTCTGGTCTATCAGCGTCAGTCACGCGCATTTTGTCTTTGACAGGCTTTGCAAAGGAGCTCAAAACCAAAGATATCCAATCTGCATTCTCGGAATGGGAGAATATTGGCGGAGGGTTCAAGATTAAATGGAGAGATGACACGAGCCTCTTGATTGTTTTCCAAGATGCTTCAGTTGGTAAGTACTAACTGCATCTGATTTCCAGTCAAACAGCGTCTTATCAATTTATTTACACATGGTTGACAGCCAAACGAGCATATCTCCACACGCTCGCGTTCCCTCCCGCCATCCTTACTACCGGCAGTTCCGCTACCATCAAACCGTATGATGGACCTGACGCCCAAACTGTCATTCAGACAGTAAATACTCGTGGCCACACAGGCAATGCTTCTCGCGGTCATAATTTGCGCGCTGCCTCTATTTCTGTTTTCCCCAGTCGCAGTGCCAACACGAGTCAGAACGGCAACGGATTACGCAACGGCAACGGCCAGAATGGACACGTGCTGAATGCTACTATTTCGGAGCATTCACCAAGGCTCACCAACGGGCGTGAGCCTTCTCCGACCCTTCCGACCCTCCCTTCTCACCCATCTCTAAATGACCTCATAAATTCGGCCGTGTCACACGATGATCCCGCTATTCTTCACGCGGAAGGCCCACCAAAGATTGGAGATCCAGGGAAGAGAATGTTGGGCGCTGCATTAGGTGTGAGGCACCCTGCACTGGGACCGCGGGTCATTAATGGAAGCCATGTCACGGGAGGTACAAGTCCCGGTACTAGCCCCAGGGGCAGTGGACTTGATTCTACCATGAGGGACATACAGAGGGCAATGGGAGGGCTGACTGTCGCCGAGTGAATACTAATACACCATGTCTGAGGATGCATCCTCGGATTCACATCGTGGTGTTTCATTGTTTCAATTGAGTGCGTGTAATTGATGTTCTCGTGGCTGATACGCATCCCTTGATTCATAATTGGAGGTTTTCATATTTTTCTGTTTCTTTGTGTTATTAGTTCCTGCATTCCTCGTGTCACGATACGTAGTCCCTCATTTTCGAATGTTTCTGTGCAGCCAACCAATTACTACACATTCTAGTGCCGCATCTAGGCCACATCATCCTGACTGTGTGATATGCGCCAGCGTGTTGCCTAACATTGGATTAGGAGGATATTATAGACTCTAGAATTAGTCATAAAAACAGCGGGTCTGTGTCCGCAGTTCCATTGGTTCCTGAAAGTTAGAACACCCGTCGTCAACCCCTCACACCATCATGGACCCTACTGCCGACCTCGTTGCCCGTGCATGGTAAAATTTAGTCATGGCAGGATTTTGATTTTGGCAGTGCCACTACCTGTGACACGACATGATCGCTGCCAATGATGCGGCAGCCAATCCCAAACTAAGTTTGGGGCTAGCACAGCTCTAGCCAGCTATGCTAACTGTTTTAGATCCTGATTGATATTGAGGCTCCGTGCTTTCTGCTGTATGATCGCGCGCAGTTCAGCGATAACGCACCATCTGTTACGACATCACGGAGAAGCTACATGGCATCTTGGCTCATCTTGGGTGGCAGCATCATGAGGTTTCATCAGATCAAGATGAAACGGAAGATTGAATTTCATGGAAACAGGTAAGGTTCCTTATTCGGCCAGTGGGCTTGATGGACAACCTTGATTGATATTCGCAAGCGCATCTCAAGCGCATCTTGTTACGAACCCCTACACGGGCTAAGTTGACAAATGCCCAGAGGCCGCCCGTTCCGGGAATACCACTGATCACGGGAGAGGAACTTGAACAAAGAGAGTAATGCCAAATGTGTGGTGCAATGCCTTGTAGCCATTGACGGCTGCCAGTCAGCCAAGGTTTCATGGCGCTGTCAATAACACGAGGTTCAGGTGCGTCTTTCTCTCACAATCAGAGCAACTCTCCAGTATTCTTTATCCGGTTCTCAAGCCAACTCCTTGTAGACACGGTTAACTGGTCAATGACCTTGCTGCCGTAGCTAATACATGCGGCCTTCTTCCTGACCGGTGATTTTCCTGATATATCACATGGTTGATGACTTTGACGACAAAGGTCGCCAATTCACTTCCGCGTCCATTCTTGCGCCATCACTTAGTACAGATTTCAACGTGTTCGTGAGCCACTTTACCCCCGATTGCGTTGTTTGCTATCGGTGAATTACGGAATTGATCAATGGAAGTAACGCAGTCCCAAGAGTTAATCATTCGAGACCCTATACAATCCAACCACCGTAACCGACTTAGCGATGCGGGCCTGGTTTTAAATCGCCTGTCTTCCAATTTGATACGTTACTGACATCCCAGCCTTTCTATTTGTGTTCTTTGACATCCAGATTTCGACGCTTCTTTACGGCTGATCTTGGGGTATATGATATCCGAATCGATTTCCGCGCGCAGCTTTCGTTGCTGCTCCATCATACACTGAATGTGACTTCCCTCATCATCTAGACATGCAGCCATACATATATTGCCATCCTCAGCTTCAGTCCTCCCATACACACATCATGAGTCCCTACATCCATTCCCACTCTCCCGATAGCGTCTATTCTTCCGACGGCTTATACTCTCCTCCCGAACGTTACCAGCCAAAGTACGAGTCCTCTGAGACCGTACCAAGGTTCAACTCATGGTCAGCCTATAGTCATATTTCAAGCCTTTTACGTGCTCCGCACCACGTTCCGTCCATCAATCCTAAAGTCACAATTTTAACGACACAACCATCCCTGTCCTCTGACGTTAACACCCCTTCGTCTGCATCGACGCAGTCATTACAGACACCGTCCTCCCCCTTTGTCCACGAGTACCCTGACACTCGGGAAGACATGGATTTTGATGAATCTGACTCCGAAGATGAGGACGCCGATTTTGACATCGAGGAGATGGACGGGATCGAAGAAGAAACCATGTCATTTTACGGTGTAACCGTGCCCCAAGTGATGAAATCTACCTCCGCGCTCGAAGGCGCGTTAGGGGACAGTTCACGGTCATCTGGCCCTTGGTGGCCGCAGCCATCGTCGTCATACATACTTTCAGATCGACGAATGTCCGTGTCTGCGCCTGGGTATCCTATCTCGTCTCATCGACAAATTACCTCACATGCACAACGACGGCAGGACAGTGATATGTATTCCCCAAGACCTCATAATGATTCATTACCAGCATCACCTTCATACCCTCATCACAGCTCTTCACATACCCACGACAGCTCGAGTTCAATGACTGCATTATTCGCACCCACTTCCGCATTGTACCAAAATTCGTCATCTTCTCTAGCCGATGCAATTCCACTTAGCCTTACACCTGGAGCGACACGAAATCCATCTACCCATCTGCCCATTTTGCAACCGCAACCAATCCGCCCAATCCCCCCCATTCCTTTGGACGAATTAGCATCGTCCGCTGCCGAGGTTGAAGAGTCTGTCTTTCCAGACGAAGGGATTCGTAGACCTCAGGAGCGGAGTCTTTCGCCTCTTCCTCTTCTTTGCCAACCAGTCTCCGATGCCGTGAGGTATCAATTGAGCGCAAACCCTAGGAACGCTCAGGGTGACGGGGAGCCATATGATCACCATATTACGGCGGAGCCGTCACCTAGAGCTTCTATTCAAGCCCATCATTTTAACCCGGCTTACCCCCGAAACTGCTCAGGAGCTACGCACACTCCGATGTGTACTTGTAGGCGTGATAGGAAAATGAGTAGGCGGTGATTTTTTTTTATCATGTCAATTGTTCATGTTGTGATGTTGTTCATGATAAGGCTTTACTTGGATATTTGATCAGGCTTAGTAACTAGATAAACTATATAATTGAACCGGGCGTAGTTTATTGCATGTCTTCATTTCATTCGGGGCTCGTTAATAGTTGCTTAACCTAGTGATATGGTGGAAACAAAACGTGAATAAGCAAACCAACCAAAAGAGGGCTGAAAAAAAAACAAGGCAACTGAAGCCAAAGCGTTTCTGAATCGTGCTGCAGGGTAACCTTTTAATTATTATTATCGTAAAATGGTACCGTAAAGAGAATGTCAATATGGAACATGAAACCGCCTTTAGGATCTGGGAATCCAAGGACAAGTCGTGCGATGGTATGAGGTGACGCTGGGAATTCAGGGGTTCGCGAAGATTGACGATTTTGCGCGGCCTAAGTCAAAAGTAGAACTGCTGTTAAATAAACATGAAACATTTGCTATATCAATCAATGGATAAGTGGTGCACACTGGATCAGGATATAGGTCGAACTTACCGGCGAAGTCCATCATCTCACACCGTCAGATGGCTATTGTTTTGTTATATTCCTCCGCCAGCAGAAGTCGTCCGAGTTCTAGCGCTGCGGGACGTAAAGGATCTGGTCCTGATCCTGTCACATTCACGTAGGTGCTTCTGTGGAGTGCAGGGAGCGAAGCGGGTTTGTGGAGCTATACTTTTTCGGCTACTTTTGTGCTTGGCCAATGTAATGGCACTGGTTTCATCGACGTTCGGTGAGGAAGCCGGTTGTTGTAACGGGGGCGCGGGGCGCGGGTTGACATCGACATGGTGAAACTCAGCCGAAGGCAGCAGTGGCGGAGATCCTGGGAAATCCGGATGTCCGTGGAGAGATCCTCCACGGATCTTCGACTCTAATGAGACCGAATGGTTGGGAAGTTCAGGGACGCCCGAGTTAGATGCAGCATCCAGAAGGAGATCCTCAGCCTCACCCCTTTCCTCGTTCGGAAGGAAATAGAAATCTAAAGGTACGTAGGATTGGCGCCGACTGCGGATAACAGGTGATTCCCCGATTGAATCATCGACGCTGGTCCTATTCAGGTCAAATATTGGGAACAACGTGTCCAAGGGATGCGCTTCGTTATCTGTGTCAAAGTTGGTATAAGAGAGGACTTGTGCTTTCTGCCTGATCGTACTCGTGTCAGGTTTGACCGGCTTGGAATTCCTGACCGAAGCTTTGTCATCCATTATGCAGAACTCTCCCGGATTAACCCAGCGTCTATACTCGCTGCAAGGAACCGATTGGTGATTGTCGGAAGAAGCTGGTCTTCTGTCATTATAACGAGAGTTTTGGTAAGGCACTGCAAGAAGCCCCTCGTAGTAAAGTTGCGACCGTTCCAGCATGTAATTTTTGTATGTACCGGCGCATTCCTGAATGTCACGAGGAGGGCCAAAGGCTCCAGAAAGAAGTTGATAAAGTGCCACCCGCTCAGTGGCTGAGAGTGTATAAGCATTCGGTGACAAAGGGTCGGCAGAAGCCTTGCGTGGCGATAAACCTAGTTCAGCTCCATCGGTTCTCAGATCTGGCACCGCTTTGGAAAGGGTGTGGAGTGGGCTTGTCTCGAACATTAATACTGGCGGGCCACGATACGTGTAAGCGACCTCGTCTATCGCTTGTGCAAATGAGTAAGACTCGTCAATAGCACTGACCCCCATGTCAAATTCATGGTCATTGTTCGCATCGCTCGCGGGAAGGATGTCAGGTTTGAGGATTGGACTGATTGCGCGAGCCACCGGAGATGATGGACTGATAACTGCAGGTGGCAGGGGGTCGTCGTGAATGGATCTAACGGCGTATTTCCTTGGTCGGCCAGGTTTGGCCTTTGTAACTCCACGAGGTTTGCTAACTGATGAGGGTCTGGCCTCCTTGAGTTTCGATATGAAGTTTACAGTTGCTCTCTGCGACTCCTTCACAGGCGCTTGGCGCAAAGTGCGAAGGTTCAAGTTCGGTTTCGGCTGAGAAAACAGACCACATATCAGTTAGTGTTCTTAATGATCTATTCAAATGTTCGAACCGATCGCGCCGGCATTGGAGCAAAATCATTTGGTACAGTTGTGCTACCGTTCTTATCTTCCTTGATCACGCGCAAGCCTCGGCTGTGAAAGTAATCATAGACATGCCTCCTGTCGATATTGTAACGTTCTTGCAGCTCTTTCCGGACGGCAAAGGACGGCATCTCGATGTTTCCAGGGTGTATTAGTGCCTCAAGATCACGGACGAGATCCGGTCCTAGTCGGAGAGCGAGGCTTTCAGGATTGACACGCCTTCTCTGGAATACGGTGCTAGCATTCTGAACAGCGGAAGGGTTTTCCGTTCCCGACGGTTGATCAAATGAAGGGGAGCCGGAACCATTGAGGCGCTGCCAGGTAGAGTGTGAAGAGGCAGTTTGGCGGGTAAAACGAGAATTGCTGGCTGCATCGGTATCACATGGAGAGATGGTTTCCATTCTGCTTGGAGAATAATTGTACAAGATATGAGAAGGTTTCACGTCAACTTCGGGCAAAATCAACTTCGCTGCGTTAGGATAGGAATCTTATAGTCTTATTCCGCGGAGTGTAAAAACTACATATACTACGTACAGCCACCATGCTCTCGTTTAAAAGTACAAACTAGCAGCGAAGACGACTGTAAAGTATGCAGATTAGAGACACACAAATCTCCAGAGTGATCTCGACTTACTGTCCCTCTTGATTTTTACTTGAGCCTCCTCCAGTTTTTTGAATAGGTCCATATCTCCGATCACCCGTGCAGCATCCCTGACTTCCCTACACGTCTCGTCTAATCGCGTTATAACCCTCACTATCGTACCTTCCTGAACGTCGGTCAAGGCCGTTATCTGGTCAAAGGGCTTTACAAATGGTCGACTATGAGTTTTCGCCCCTTGGCGGCAACACACGTTCGCTGACTCACCATGCCCTTCGCCCATTCGTATACTACTTCCATGAGACCGAATTTTAAGCTTGATTTGAATTCTTCTGCCGAAACCCTGTGGTGGTCTTGCACACTTTCCACTCGCTGACTGATTGCAAGAATTGCATCTCTGCCTTCCTCGAGTTTGATCGGTACAACAGGTTCTACCTCTGTCTTTTCTTGAAAGACGAAGCAAGACAGAAGAGCAACCACTTCTTCCGGCTCATAGTTTGCTAGAGTATTCTCAAGTATAAGCTCAGTGAGGACAAGCTCGTTTGCAGAGTTGATCTGAACTTCAGTGAGCCGACAATATAAATCGGTATAGCAGGGCCGTATCTGACCTCGCAGGCAACACGACCCTTCAACTGGACAGTCGAATTTTCGTTGATGAACTTCAACTCCTTTAGGACCTCAATTCGTTGTTCATAGTCCGGGATAAGGTCGAGGTTTTGGTCAGAAATTGCCATCTTGAGTTTGTCGATGTTAATGCGCAGCGTCTTCTGACCATGGAGAATGAGATACTGCTCGGCCCAGTCAGTCAAATGAAGGCGTGAAAGTGACTTGAACCGACATGATCATGAAACTCGCCGCACAGTATACATGATGAACCTCGGCGACGTTTGGCGAGGTCGTTTCTGCTGCGTAATGCCTCCTGGAAATCTAGTGTTCGTATGCGGTCCAAATTAACCTCCGGTATGGTTCCAACAGCCCTCCAATTGTGGACAAGAACCTGAAGCGAGTTGATGATCTCAAGCATCAAAGACTTCCTATGGTGATCGACGATTCCAGTTGCATCCACCTGTCTTAGCTTAGCATCAGAGCTCCGAGCAAAAATGTTGCATACCTTCATAGTCTCGGAAGTAACCATAGAAATGCTGTCGAGAGGGACACTCCTCAGGTCGTATGTGAGATTCTCGACTTCTAATGAAGCGGGATCCAGTGGCCATCTCGGTGGCAGAGCTCGATCTTCGACATCTGTAAATCTAATGAACGGGCTTCATGTGTTAGGGTATGCCATCAAATAAATACCTGTGTCACCTAATTTCGTTTCCTGGTCGACCATAGCCAGCACAAAAAACAGCTTGCCCACGAATGAACTCGCTTGCCGTGGATCTGGTTTAAGCAAAACGCCGACGTTGCCTCGCCTAAAATGCTGGTTGTAAACGGGAGCGTGATCAATAGGCATTAGAGTCATGATTGGCAGATAACATACGCCGTCTCGTAAGATGACAACCCTCCCTGGGCCCAGCAAGTTGGTATTTGAAGGACTGGATGTCACCATAGTGCAAAGTTTGTTATTCAAACCAACGACCTCAAGGGAAAGATCGTAATAGCGCTCGATGTCAATCAAGCAAACATCACATTCAAGTTTAGGCATTTTAGAAAGTGTCCTTTCATGCTAATGATTATCGTGGGTCAACGGGTATGAAAAAATAGAAGATAGAAACATACCTCTGCAACTTGCTTTTGGTGTTCTGGAAGTAGTCTCTGCGAAGAATTTTCAGAAAAACTCCGTTTGATCATTTCCTCGACGCGCAGTGCCTCCACACGAAGCAAGTTCAGTATCATATTATAGGTGAGCCTGAACTGCGACTGTAATTTTCCAGGTGTGCCGAGCATCATCTTCAAGAGAGATGTTTGCTGTAAAATAAAGATATTACTAAAGTGTGCCTAAACCATTGATGGTGAACTTGCCTCGGGAAGATTGTCGCCTGCAACAATGATTACCGTTCCGGTAGGGTCCAGACCTCGCCGTCCAGCACGCCCTGCCATTTGGGTATATTCGCCGGGTAGAATGTCCCTGAAGCTGCGCCCATCATGCTTCCGTATGTTAGAGAATACAACACATCTTGCGGGCATATTAACACCCTGCGTGTGTCGTCAGGATTCCCTTGCTAATAACACGCGATGAGAAGCGTACCATCGCAAAGGTTTCTGTGGCAAACAGAATCTTGACGAGCCCACGTGCAAACAATATCTCTACGACCTGTCGGCAGCGAGTCAGTCGTGATTACAGCCATGCCTGAATTCTTCAGACCTCTTTGACGATGGGCAACAAACCACCATGATGAACACCGATTCCTCGTGACAGTAGATCCCTCATCCTAGCGATCTGCGGAAGCTTCTTGTCCGAACCTAGGATGGGAATTAACGCAGCTAGTAAAGTCATCTATGCGCTACACCTACCCTTTAGTCGTGCAAGGGCCTTTTCGACGGCGACATGTACTTCACTTTTCTCTGCAGACGTGCACAGATCTGAATTGGTAAGAGTTGCAGCGTTTTCTTCGCAACGCTTCTTTGACAAAGTAAATACGACGACAGGAAGAAGCCCCTTTTTCTGAAGATGATTTAGTAGGTGCACGTAGAGATTCTTGTCTGCCCCAGTGTGGATGGTTCTAAACTGTCCGCCGCCACGCCCACGGGATGCGGACCCGCTCGGGGCTGCGCCGCGTTGACCACCGCGTGCCGGTGCTGCGCCACGCTGCACACCTCTTGCAGCGCCTCGAGCACCGACACGCTGTACGGGAGGTAGACCTGCAGCATCTCGTTCCTTGTCCTGTTTCCTTCTGAGAGCATCGCCAGCATCCTGGTACCTGTACTCGCAGCGTCAGGGTGCACAATATTCAATTGGTTGTCATGTTACCCCCGCGCAACCCAATTCCTAGAAGCATCGACGATCTTGAATGTGTCCCTGCCGGCATAAAGATAATGTTCAAGGGGGACAGGTCTTTGCGCTGTAGAGATTACATAGATGTCCTTCTTCTTGGTTCGCCTTGGTAAATTCACAGGTAAAAGTCAAAGCATTTACATGCAGGCGTCACATTGCTCACCCTACCCAGTCCGCAAACTCTTTGCTGTTGGGAACAGTTGCTGATAGCAGGATGATGTTGACGTGATCGGGTAACATGATGATCACTTCCTCCCAGACGACACCTCTCTGCCAAACTCTAAGAAAAATAAGTTCGGGAATAATGCAGGCACCATACCTCTGCATCATTCACGTAATGCACCTCATCAAAGATTACGAATTCGACATCGCGAATCAGATCGGCGCCCTTGTACAGCATGCTTCGCAGGATTTCAGTCGTCATCACCAGACAGCTCGCCTCGGGATTAATCTGCACATCCCCTGTAAGTATTCCGACAGATGATGACGAGAAAGTTTGTTTGAAGTCTCGAAATTTCTGGTTTGACAGCGCTTTGATCGGCGATGTGTATATGGCACTGGAAGATAACTTGAAGTATTGACATGCTATACAAAGAACACGACAAACCGTGTCATATGTTTCTCAGCGAGAGCGATGGCGTATTCGGCAACGACAGTTTTCCCAGCGGAAGTATGCGCTGCGACAAAGACTGAATCTCCCATTTCGAGGTGATACACTGCTTCTTTCTGGAAAGTATCCAACTCGAAAGCATACTGCGCTAGATCATGAGATTTTGAGTCACGAGAAGAATGATGACCGACTTTGTGAGCCATATCCGGTACAAGTTCATGGAAGTTGGTCATAGGTTTGTTGATATCAACCACATGTGCCCAATCGCGCTTGACTACATTGGGTTTCTTAGTCCGTCGGGGGGCCGTTGATGGTCGCAGATGTGTCCGCTGGAAGCGTGTTATTTGAGCATTAATTGATCCCGCACGACAAGGCCCTCACTGTTGTTGGCAAGAGCTCGTCAATTTCTCCGAAACTATCACCATTGGGTAAGAGATCTCTTTTGTCATCCAACACACGACTTTCATCAATGTGCTGAGCGACATGTGATGAGTAACTATAAGATACATGCGGGAATGACAAATATACCTTGTCCTCGTTGTAATCAGCAGTATCATCGAGAGTGGAAAGCGCCTCGTCTTCCGGATCGTCTCCCGAGAGTCGCAATCCTCTCGAAAACCCCGGTAGGACAGTTCGCAACCCTTTGATAGGCACTTCTGTAGTCTGTTTTGCTGCCAGAATCACGTCATCAAGTCCACCAGGCTTGAAGGGAACATAACCGGATTTTCCCCTGACAAAATTGGCAACTGGGGCAGGAGCACGGTCCATAGATGTCGACGTGAGCGCTGTCGAAACCGGTGCATTTGGCGTCTTGGACGAGTTTACAGCTACGAAACGTGGGAGCATAACTAAGGACTCACTTCTGCATAACCAATGACACGTCCTTCCAGACCCGCACGCAGGAAAGTAAGACTGGTCGGCGGTGGAGAGGGTTCGGAGGTCAAGAGTGACTGTATAGAAATCTCGGGTTGCCATGTTCTGAGGTGAA